CCAGGGATGAAGTCCACTTGATCATGGTGGATAAGCTTTTTGACGTGCTGCTGGATTTGGTTTGCCAGTATTTTACTGAGGATCTTCTCATTGATGTTCATCAGGGATATTGGTCTAATAAGCCAGGCACAAGCTTCCAAAGAAGTTCTCCTGAGTTCTACTCAGTCTTATAGAACACAAGCCCAGCTGCTGCTGAAAGTAAGGCAGCTTGAAATTTCTGTACTGGGTGAAAGGTGGCCACAGCATCAGTGACCCGCTTACTCCCCTTATGGAAATGGGACTTGGTACTCTGCTATGCATCTGACACCATTGAGAAAGGTTATTTGAACCCAGTGGAGCTGGTAGCAAAAGTCCAAATGCCTACTGGCTTACAACTAGAACACATGAACCCCATTGGATTGTCATAGTGTAGTGTAGAATTTATCTGTTTTTTTTTTAATCTCCAAAACTTCTTCTTTTTCTTTCTCTTTTTAAAAATGCAAATGAGAATGGCACTGTTGTCTCAGGGTTTTAAAGAGCAGAGAGTGCCTGTTGTGCAGTGATGTGTGACTGAATACAGCAAGGAGGTTAGAGACACATCGTCAAGAGCTAGGTGCAAATCCATGGGCTTAAGAAGGCCATGACTTATTTACAACTTCTTATTTGCCACTGGCATCATTTGAATTTTTATAGGTTTTACTAAAGAGCAATATACATATATTGTTCTCTTTTGGAAAACAACCGTGTCTGAAGTGTTCCTGAGATTCTTGTAACTGTTATCACTTTGTTTTCGCAGTTCCAGTTTAGCACAGAATAAAATCTGGACTGTATGTGTTTGTGAAGATTTTGTGTCTACATGGTCATCAGGTAGAATTCCTTTCTGTGTTGTGAAAAGAGGCAGACTGAAGTCATTAGTCACTGCCAATGTCGTGTCAGTTCTTGCTGGCTTACTCTCGTAGCACTGGAGACATTAATAAAATGGGCTGCCAAGGCCCCTTGCAGGCAAACTTGTAACGTAGGAAGCAATTATCTTTGGTTGATTCCCTCTCAAAGGCAGTGGGTGTTGTAGTGTCAGTGAAAAGAATTAAGATCATTGGCTTTGCAATCAGAGAGATCTATGATTGGATTCCGTTTCCTCATTTATTGGTTCAACAAATACTTAGTGAGTGCCTACTAAGTGCTGGCCTCTTTTCCAGGCATTGAGATGCAATAGTAGGAAGGAAACAAACATGGATGCCTGCCTGTTAGCTGGGGAGGCAGCCACTAGCATCCAGGTGACAGGCTCGAGGCTCAGTCTTATGCTGAGCAGTTTTTTACCTTTCAGCTGCAAACCTTCCTTTCTATACAGTACTACACGGGACTGGGCTAGGACTCTTTCTCCTTTGCCCACTGGCTTCCTGTATAGGTCTATATATCAGTCTGTCTGCATGCTGCTAATAATGACATACCCAAGACTGGGCAATTTACAAAAGAAAGAGGTTTATTGGACTTACTGTTCCACATGGCTGAGGAGGCCTCACAGTTATGGTAGAAGGCAAGGAGAAGTAAGTCACATCTTACATGGATGGCAGCAGGCAAAGAGAGCTTGTGCAGGCAACTCCTGTTTTTAAAACCATCAGATCTTGTGAGACCCATTCCCTATCACAAGAACAGCATGGAAAAGATGCACCCCCATGATTCAATCATCTCCCACAACAGGTGGGAGTTACAAGATGAGATTTTGGTGAGGACATAGAACCAAACCACATCAGTCTGCAAATAGGGATGCTAGAGGGAGACTAGCATCTAGTGGGAGAAGGGGCTTTCTTCTTCTTCTTTTTTTTTTTTTTTTTTTTTTTCCTCTCAACATCATCCCAACAGTGACCTTGGCCTGACAGCAGCAGTTGGTTCCAGTCTCCAGCCTCTTTTGAAAACCTGAGAGCCAGCCTGTTGGTATGTTCTCAGAAGTAATAGCAAGAGCTGGGTCATGCTCCTCTTCAGAGGTCTAAGCCCCAGCTCTTTCTATGAGCTTCTGGGCTGTGATTATTCCAACCTCTTCCCTGAACAGCAGCTGTTCCTGCTGTTGTACATCAGAGTTAGCTCTGTGATCCCTGTTGCCTATTCAGCCCTCCACCATCTGGAAAACCAAGTCCCTGTAGTAGATTTTATGTTAAAATGCTTCATGTGGTTTTTGTTTTCTTGACAGAATCCTGATATACTCATACCATACAAGCTTATCTTAAGATATTTGAACTTTGTAACAAAGATGCTGAGGAATAGTCAACTGGTTATGAAGCACATCATCTTGGTACATTCACCATTTTCAATAATGAAAAAAGAGAAAGAGAGTACATTTATGTAGTCACATATTTTGTATAATTTCAAAGAGGGGAAAGTAAAAATGCCCGTGCTTACTTTCAACAGATCAACATGACATTTTTGTGAAAATGAAACACATCAGGGGTAGCTTTCCTTACACATTTGTTTAGACCTACAAAAGAAATAATTTCATGACCTACCAAACCATAACTGGATAATATAAACCCATATTCTTCCAGTTTTGTTTATTGGGAACAAAGCTTCTGCTCACGGTCATTCTTCAACCTCTTTTCTGCAAATTCATTTTATTTCTATCATCTCCTTATATGATATAGATTAATTTAACCTGAATATGTGTGGATTCTATTGTAAATAATGCATTTAACAACAATCAATAATGCACTCATATCCACTTTTAAGCCCTGCCCTTACTACTTCTTGATGTTAATTTCTAAGTATAGAATGCGCTTTTCCCTAAATGCAATCTAGCATATAATGCACTGGATTTTGGAGAGCCAACTTTATTTAAATAGGATCAGTGACTCCCTCTCAGATATTGATATGCAATTTCAATCCTGTCAGATCTATAATTATACACTTAATAATCTTCTACCATGAAAGGAAAACAATAATCTGTCTATCTGGCTAGCTAGCTACCTATCTAAATATCAAGCCTGCCTGTCTCTCTATTTGCCATGCCCTTTTAAAGTTGCTTTAACATATTCCAGTAGATGGAAGTCTGGCAAGAAGATATAGGTCTTTGTTCACAGACAATAGGAAAAAGTCTAAAATGTATAAGCTCAGTTTCACTTAATTTTAAAGATGAACAAACAAGGTGCCTCTAAGTGAAAGACTAGAATGAGTTTAATTAAGAATTAAATGTCCCTTGATGAGTCCTTGTACAGATTTTATAAGTTGCTATAGTTCCCAAGAATTAAAAAGTGAATCACTATAATGACTCAGTAACATACCCTTTTATAAGTCAGATTTTACCCTTTCTTGTTAGTTTTTGATTGAGGAGGACTTCTTTAAATTGTCAGTTGAAAGATCATGAAAAAATAATCATTGATGATAGATCACTGTGTGATTTCTGGCATCTAACTCAGGAGATAAAAAACTGGTAAGTTAGAACTCTTCATTTCCATCAGATGATTACTCAGCACGTATATGCATTAAAAGATGGTAATAAAGATTGAACTGATGTTGAATCCTGTTTCATTTCACCATTAAATAATATTCATCCAAGCTTACCTTAACTGAGAAAGAAATATATTGCATTCAGAAGTGGATTTCCAATAGCATTTTACTTTGTACAATAATTACATTTCAAAATTTGAAGCATTCATTTAATCAACCATGTACCACTAATAATTGTAACAATAACACAATACAGAAAAATAATTTAATACTTACAGCTTCATGTTTACAAAACAAAAAACCTTTTTTCTTTTAATTTTCAGTTTCAAAATATATTTATAGCAGAGAAATATGATAGGGCTATATAAAATATTTCCAGGCATAACATCATATTACATTAGGGAAAAATTATGTGAAGGAAGTGGAAGGAAAAAACTTCACAAAGAGGCAAAATATTAGGTAAAATGTCCAGTCATCAAAGAGCATGGTCATTGATGTTGTTTGCCTCTGTGTCTCCACCCAAATCTCATCTTGAATTGTAATCTCCACACGTCAAGGGAGGGATGTGGTGATGATTGGATCATGGAGGAAGATTTCCCCCTTGCTGATCTTGTGATAGTGAGTGAGTTCTCACAAGATCTGGTTGTTTGATAAATGTCTGACACTTCCCCCTTCTCACGCTCTCTCTCCTGCCCCCTTGTAAAGAAGGTGCTTGCTTCTCCTTTGCCTTCCATCATGACTATAAGTCTCCTGAGGCCTCCCCAGCCATGCAGAACGGTGAGTCAATTAAATATCTTTTATTTATAAAGTACCCAGTCACAGGTAGTATCTTTATAGCAGTGTGAAAACGGACTCATATAGTCATGTATCTTTTAAATAGATGATGATGGGTATAAAAACACTATGGCATTTAGATTTCTGGTTTTTTTTTTTCAGTATACTTTAAGTTCTAGGGTACATGTGCACAACGTGCAGGTTTGTTACATATGTATCATGTGCCATGTTGCTGTGATGCACCCATTAACTTGTCATTTACATTAGGAATATCTCCTAATGCTAGCCCTCCCCACTCCCCTCACCCCACAACAGGCCCCAGTGTGTGATGTTCCCCTTCCTGTGTCCAAGTGTTCTCATTGTTCAATTCCCACCTATGAGTGAGAACATG